TGTGTGCTTGAGTAATTCTAAGTTGTAATATCATATTCTCTGTGTATAAACGAGAATCTAAAAGGTCATACCTGCTTGATTCCTCTGAATAAAATGATTCATCTGCACAGTTATGTTGCTGAAATAGTTTTAACATTTCCAAACTCAAAAGGTAATTGCAATACCTTCTGTAAAATTAGTAAACATTAGTTTGATTTCCAGATCATTAACTGGGTGTATTTTGTGCAGTTTTGCCTATTTACCTTTAACACTTGGAAACTTTGTATCACTACAGAGTGTTTTCTCTGTAAATTTCCCTTCACGAATTGACAGTATGTGGTGTCATTAAGCAGGGCAAAGATCTGTGCTCTTCTATTCATTATTCTGCTTTAGATCACTGTGTCGTCAATTCTTGCAGACATATTTGAAAGTTAACTAAAGAAGGAAGTGGTTGTAGTCTTTTGCTAAGTTCTTAATGCATGATAATAACATTGTTTGATAATTGGGGTGTAAAAGTGTTATTGTGATGTTTGGATAAACATATAAGGGCATCTGTTGCATTCTCACCCTAATGCAGAATTCTTTGCAGATATACTTATTAACCTCCATTCCCCAATTCTTCCTTCTCAGAAAAGGATACCTTAAGTTAGTCTTCTAATCTTAATCATATTGTTCTTTCCCCTGGTACAGGTGGTTTATAGTCGATGCACAATAATTTATATTCCAGCATTTAAAGTAGCTGTATTCCAATGCTTCTGAGCACCTCCAGTTTGATCTTTGAAGTGTTACTCATAAATAAAATTATACACATCAACCTGTTCCCGGGATCTGTGGGAAAAAGGATAATAAACTAGCATAATTCCTTATATAATTTTTTTATTGTGTGCTGCTTATGATTAGTATTATTTTGCAGGATCACAATCCTGTGAGTAGTAAAGGGAGAAGCTGCTGATTTCCTGGATGTCAGGGTGAACTACAGATAACCATAATGTGTTTTTCTTAGTGTATTAATATTTTGCCATAATGGGGCTTAAATTAAATGGCTATTTGTTATGGCTAGGTAGTTCTGTCTTCATCTGGATGTTCTGATTTATGTGAACTTTTTATCTCTTGCTTCCATACTTGCCCAATTATAATCTTACATTTCTCATACTGGAGATACATTTTAAAATGAATAGAATGTGCTCCCCATTCCAGCGTTTTCAGCAGGAGGTGATGGGAGGGTCAGGACTTCAGCATGTCAGCTTCTTGAGTTGTCACTTCATCCTGAATCCCACCTACCAACAAATATTGACATTTCTTCTTAGTTTTTATGCCCTTCTTGGTCATGTCATACCTTTGGCTAGAATTAACTTACTTGATTTCGTTTAGTGCCATAATGCCCCTCAGAGCTTCTCCTTGACAGACTTTTTGTGAATTCACTATTTTCCTTTCTTCTGAGTACTGACAAAGTGACACCCCCGTGGATTCTCCCTGTCTCTCCCTTTGCACTTCAGCTCTCACATCCTTTCACTTCCATTGTGGAAAATCATCGGTGAATCCTATCATTGTACTTCTGCTCTTAAAAGAGTTCGGCTGCAGATTCATCCTTCCTTTTTCATTCCAGTTGAGAGTTGTCATATCTCAGGTCCTATACAGAGGCTGTCATACAGATTCTAACTGAACAGCTGAAGTAGGTGTTCCCTGTTTGAACGGCTTTCCTGGACCACCTGGCTAAAGAATGAAACCTGCTGGTACAGGTGAAAAAATGCCTGCAGTGTCATGCCATGAAACAACCATCCGCTGCAGTTTCCAGCAGTTGCATGCTGTTTGTAGGCATACATTTAATCACAGTGTTGCCAGCCATGTTTAATCTGTTGTTAAATCTACTTAGTGAGCTTTAAAACTGTAAGTTTTCCTTTTCTGTATGTTTTGTTTCCTATTTTACTCTCCTTTCTTTGCTTTTGCAGGCTGTGTTATATGTTTTGTTTATGCTTTCTTCACATCGTTATTTGACTGTTTTCTCTACATCATATCATCCACTGTTTTCTGCTGTTTTCCTGCCTCGTATTTTTCCTTCTCTACTTTCTCTTTGAGCTTAACTTAACTCCTCTTTGTGCTTTCTCTCTGTTCTCCCAATACTTGTTCTCATTCACAGGTATGAGCAGTTCATGGTTTTTCACACATTGTCTGATTCCCAATGCTACTGCTTGGGCTATTTTGCTTCCTCAGATAAGTCCTTAGAACCAGTGGCATTTCCAAGCTCCATTTTGTTCTGTTAAAGAGAAGTATTGGCTTCTAGGCAGTTTTACACACTTAAATAAATGTTCTCCCCTCTCCTGGCCAGGTTCACCCCACTTAACCCTGGATGTCTAATGCAGGTGCCTAATTTATGTGTGTGGTCATCCATGGCTACTTCTGTGGTCGGTGGGAAGAGAAGGGCTTCTTCAAGTAGTGGTTTGCACCAGGAGGGACCAAACTGATCCCAGAAGTATTCCTTCCTCTCTGCTGACCACCAAGGGAGCTTTGGATTGCTGCTCTTCTAGCCGGATGTCTCAGATTTGTAACAGTCACCTCTGTTAAAGTCTGCTGCTTGTACATGTGTTTTCAATTCTGATCTCCTTCTAACATGATGGATTTTCAGGGGTTTCCCTATTTTTACTTAAAATAATCAATGCATCCATGTACAGCATTATGGAAACAATGTAAGAAAATTGAACTAGTGTGCTTTAAAGAGCCCAAACAATGTATTCAGCCTAACGACTTTGTGGGGAAAGAAAGTTCTCACCATTTCCAGCCCCTGTAAAGCGAGTTTTTCATCTGCCCCTATTCCTGCTGTCTGACTAATCGGTCTTGTGCACTTGAACTGATGAACTGATCCTTCTGCTGCCACTTCCCTCCCTCTGCTGGAATACTGATGCACTCACGGCACAGTGAGAAAATATTGCAGCAGCGGAAGGTTTACTAAAGGACAGCCTGGGGCCCAGACTGCAGAATTAGATCTTGAGTGGGAATATATAGGCAGAGAAGAAAAGCTGTGAAAGAGGGAGGCTAAAAATGCAACAGCCAGATTGAAAGAGCAGAGAAGAGCCATAAAGGGGATAATCAGAGCTGTATGAAATAACAGTGGCATGTGCTTTTACCTGTGTGGCTGGCACTTCTGAAGCAAGAGGCACTCCTGAGTGTCAGCTTTAGAAACTAAGAAGTTGATAATCTATTTGCTTGTTAATGTAGTTAGTTAATTGATGTAATTTTGCCAATTTTTGCATAATTTGACAAATACAGTGGTAATGTTTAAAGAAAGGAATCATGTGATGTGTGAACATGAAATTGATCTGCCATGGTAAATTCTGTCGCTGTTAAAGGGTAGGTGATGGTGTTCTATGACTCTGTTCTATGACTCTGTTTATGAAAGTAAATAATAGAAAAACCCTTTATGAATTTGAGGGACACTTGGACATATCAAGGTTTCTTTTTCAATCTGCAGCTGAGGCAGCTTTCTGACAGCTTACTCCAGGACAAAGGAAAGCTGCATGAAAAGTTTGTAATATAAATGAGAATATTTGACACAGAGAATATAGATCTGTAACTTGCTTTATCCTGTGCCTGGAGTCTGCATTCAGCTATGGATAATGTCTTAGACTCCATTTGTGAAGCACTGTTGAAGAACTAAGTTGAAAGAAATCAGGCATAGGCTTTTTTCCTATCTGGCTTTTACACCACAAAAAAAGCTGAGGTTCTGTTCAGAAGCTGTTCAGCACCTGACAGACATTTTTCTTCCAGTGATGTTCTTAGCTTTAATTATCAGTAGTGTTCTATGTTATAAAGCATGCTAATTGATAATTAATCAAACAATAATGCACTCCATTCATCTTTAGACTCTGGTTCCATGAACACCTTTCTTCATGCTCAGACTAAGATGAAGAGTTTTGGGAGGCTACAGGCAGAGCAGTGTAACTGTCTGAAACATCTGGGCCCAGCTCAAGAGGCTGATGGCCTTTGATAATTAATCCTGCTGCAAATGTCTGCAGTAGAAGTCAGTGTAGCTCTCTTTACCTAAATTTTATGGTGTTGGCCTTTTATGAGGGAGCTAAGTTAGACTTCAAGTTGATCAGGAGAGAAAAATCATGCTAGCTGCTCTGTATTAGATCTGCAATTTTACGAGATACGTTCTGAGTGTGACATAAATTATCAGTTGGGTGGAACACTGAAACTATTCTTATAATTACAGCCTATGCTATTCCATGTGATGAGCTTGAATTTATAGGTCTTTTATATGCATAAATTTAGAAAGAAACATCTCTAGCTTGTATAGTCCCACACTTCAAATAGAAAATGAAAATTGCGTGTATATGCACCTCTGCAGGTTAAACAAATTTATTTACAGTTCTGCTTTCTGCTGTGTGGTTTTGCAAATACATGTATGGGATCTGTCAGCAGTTCCACTGACAGTGCCAGTCCCGTGCTCTCGAGCACCTGTAGAGGAGGCAGCACATCAGATTTACATATTTTTAGCTGTTCTTCAAGGATGTTGTTGTTGACAGTGACATCAAGCATGGCCAGAAATTGTTGCAGATCATGGCCTGACAGTTTGACATTGGTACTTGAACACTAGTGGAGAAAACTTTGTAAATAAATTAATTCTAAACCCAGGGCTTGATTTTGCGAAGCTTAGACTTTATTACTTGGAGTTAGCAGGTACGACAGCATCCTTTAATCCTCGCTTTTGACACGGCACGACGTCATCGCAAAGTTTAGGCAAGGGGAAAAAAAAATTTAAAAAAGGCAAAAAAAAAAAAAAAGCTGTTTAAGAAAGAAATGTGGAATAACACTGAGAAGGGCCTCTCGCTGGGAGACAGGTTACGGGTGTGACGAACCTCGCTCGGTGTCCCCCCTGTGCCGCGGGCGAGGGGCGGAGGGCGCCGGGCACGGGGGCGCGCCCGCCCGGAGCGCGCTTCCTGCTCGCCGCTGCCTTTAAGGAGGCGCCGGGTTTAAGGTGGACCGGCGCTGAGGGCGGGGCGCGCCCGCCCGGCTCCGCCCGCCGCGTCGCCCTCCGGTCCGCCCCCCTCGCCGGGGCAGCGGGTGCCAGGCGGGGTTGTGATGCGGCCGTTGTTTTCGTAGGGTCGCGGGGCCGCGGTGCGGAGGTAGCCAGGCGGCCCATGGAGCTGGGGTACGCCGGGCAGGCGGCGTAGCCCTGCTCGCCCCCGCTCCCTTCCGCCGCTTTGTTAGCGCCAACACAAGCGCGCCTCACCTACACGGTGGAGAGGAAGGCAGCGCTCCCCGCACAATAATGGGCAGCCGGGCGCTGCCCCCCGGGCCGCCGCAGAGGTGAGTCGGCGCCGCCGCAGGGCCGCAGGTTCCCCGCGGGGAGGAAGCCGAGCGAGCGGGGCGGGCTGACAGCGCCGCGGCGCTGCCTTAAGAGCGGGGCGCCACCTTAAGCGGCCGCTGACTTTTCTCGTTACATTGTAGCAGCGGAAAGAATGTCGGCGCGGGCCGCGGGTGACGTCAGGAGGGAGCAGCGCGGCGCGGCCGCCAGGCAGCGGCAGCGGCGGCCCCGCCACGGCGAGGGAGGAGGCGGAGGAGGCGGGAGCGGCGCCGGCCCCGCCGCCACCGCAGCGGCAATGGCGGCCGTCGGGGAGCGCAGGTCCCTGCCCAGCCCCGAGGCGATGTTGGGGCAGCCCTGGAGCCACTGGGTCGACGCTGCTAAACTTCACGGGAACGACGGTGAGTGGCCGCCACCCCCTCCCCCCCGCTCGTCCCCAGCGCGCCCCGCGGCTGCCCCGGGACGGCACGGCACGGCACGGCGCGGTGCCGGGCTTGGCGGGCGGCTCGGGTCCGCTCGCAGCCCCAGCTCGGCGGCCGAGTTCGTTGTGCGGTGCGCGCCCCCGGCCGCGCTCGGGAGCGGCAGCGCCTGCCCCAGTTCTGTAATCCGGGACACGGAGCCAGCGGCCGGTCCCCGGAGCCCGGCACCTCCCGCCCTGGATTCAGCCTGGGCGTGGGGCGGGCAGCTCCCGCCGCAGGTGAGGCATCCCCGGCGCTGACAGCGGGGCTCGGTGCCGCTGCCCCGTGTGCGCTGCCGTGACCCCGCGGCGGAGCCGGCGCAGGGCACGGGCGGGGGGCACGCCTCCCCTCTGCCCCTGCCCTGCATTCAAATCGTGTGGCTTTTCGGTTTCAGGAACAGCATTAGAAGAAAGTTTCAAGGAATACGGGAGAAACCGAGAAGCAATGCGACTTTGCCGAGAAGGTGAGTGCGATTCATTCCTGAAGAAAAGTTTTCTTCTTCACAGCTACTTAGCAGAGGAGCAGGCATGGGAAAGAGAAAGGATCAAAGTTTCTTCTCGGTTTGCATTTAGGACTGGTGGCCTGTCAGTGACTGGTGTATTAGCATTATTATTAAATTATTACGTATTTTGAAAACTACAACTTAGGGCATAGACTGTTCTTACTGTGTTTCTATATGTTGTTGTTGTTTTTTTTTTTCTTTAGACTATAAATAGTCCTAAAGAAGCTCTGTGACCAGCACTGATAAAATCTTCTCTTGAGTTACGATATTTTTTGTTCTTGGTATAATCCATGTCAGTATTTCAATACCAATCCCTTCCTCTGTCATGTCATTGTGTTATGTTTATTGCTTGTTACTCTGCTAAATGAGAGTGACCTTTCACCTGTGATTAGCAAAAGCCCATTACGGCCTAGTTTCTTGCAAGAGTAGCAATGCTACTTGGAGTTGTAAGCAGATGATGAATGAAAGCTATAGATTATTATTATTTACTTTTTAACAGGCAGTGAAAAAAGGAAGCGATGAGTGTGATTTGCTATGTTAATTTTTGTTTATTTGTTTTTCTAGTTTAGTGATAGGTTCTAAAACTTTCTCTGTTCTAAATCATTCTTAATATTGCTGGTTCTTGGTTCCCTCTGAGTACCTGAGACGTGTGCCAGAGAACAGGCCCAGCTGTTTTAAACACTAGAGCAGTTAGACCCAAGTCATTTATTTGATGTTGTTAGAAATGGAAGGCTGAGTTTGTAGACATGGTTTACAATCATGGGAAGCAGAACTTGCCAGAGACCTTAGGAGATGATCTGATTCAGCACCTGCTGACTTGTGAGCTGCAAGCAGCAAATGAAACCTAAAGCAAGGTGGCACAGGCTGGCAGGATTGGGAGGCAGGGATCCATACTGAGTCTGGCTATATTTTGTACAGTTCTCAATGTTGCTAAAATTTGGAAAATACAGTTTCTAGGGTCAGAGTCAGTGGCATGGAAGAAAGATGAAATAGGCAGCTGTGCTGTGGCGTGCAGATTCACTTGTGGTGTTTTTCCATCTTCTTAAGTGTATCTGTGAGTTCTTAGGCACTTGAAAAAGCACTTCATTACTTCATTGCCAAGTTCCAGTCTAATCATTGTGCTGGATATGTAATTCATTTTTCTGAATAAGCAAATCATTCAAATGCTAAAAAAGCATTTACAACAATAAATACACACATTATCTTTGTCAAGATTTTACCAATAAGGATTTTCAAACATTTGCTCTTATTTCTACTTCTTAAAATGCAAGCATCTAAGGTTTCCAGATTCTAAAGATTAGCTGGCAGGGTAAAGAATAATCCATCCTATTTTTTTCCCCACTGGAGAGAGATCATGAAACTGGTTTTGTGCAGGCTGATCACTGAGACACGGTGACTGCACTGACTCCAACCATGTGAATGATTTGCAGGGTTGTGAGTTGAAGGAATTTCATAAAATACTTTGAGAATTAAAAGTGAAACTTAGTAGCCCTGTCAGGCTCCAGAAGTCTGTTTATTTTGTTTGCTTTATGACATACGAATGAGACACTGACTTGGCATATACCTGTGGCTGGCCTGTAGGGAGCTTGGCCTGCTGCAAAATAGACCTAAAATAGTACTAATTAAGTTTAGATTAACTTAAGGAACTAGGGGAGCAGCAAACACGCCAGCATACGTATGTGTTATCAAATAAAACTTCGAAAATGCTGTAAATTCATTTTCCCAGGAAGAATTTTGCATTCAAAACTGAGGAACAAACATGTATAAAGTAATTGGACTTTCTAAACCTTGGTTCTTACCAGAGAAAGGTGAACCAAAAGTATAAATTTTGTTAAATCCACTTTAACCTCAAGACTTTTGTCGTGGTACCCCACAGTATTTTAAATACAAGTAACAACAGAACTCCTTGTGTAAGAAAGTTATTTCTCTACAGATTGGGAGTTGACTCTGAGGCCCAACTTCTTAAAAGGATTTCAAGGTTATTTAGGCTAATTTAACCTTGCATTGCAACTCTTCCAGTTTGCATAAAATAATTAAATATTCATGCCTTGGAGAGGGAGCAAAAGAAGGAACATGACTTTACAGCCCACATATTAGGATTGGGTTCAAAACCAAGAACCATTTTCTTTATTTAACAATTGTCAGGCTCCCACTGGCCTGTGTCCCCACTGGGCTGTGGGTGGTAGTTGTTCCTTTTCCCACGTGCTGTTCTCTGCATCTCCTGGTGGGAATGGCCTCATCCTCAGCATGCCTGCTGGCAGGAGGTGGATTTCAGCCTCACAGGCAGTTGAGTTTGAGGCTCATGAATGAAGGGTGAGTGTTCCTCTTGTTGTAACACTGTATTAGAAGAGGGGCTTCACATTGCCAGCTTTCTTTTTTAACATTCTCCTTTCGTTAAACTTTAAAGGTAAAGAATGATGTATGCTATTTTAAAGGAATAAAGGAGGATGTAACTCTGTAATTCCAGGACAATATTTGCAAGCAGCGGAGAGAGGGAGGATTTCAGACACACCTTTGTCAGTGGCACTTTCTATTTGCTGATCAGGCAGCTCCTCTCTCAGCATTTTAGTGGTTGTGAAGCCTGATGAGTCCTTAATACCTGTTAATGGTGCTAGTTCCATGCAGGGATCAGGAAACATGTTTTTTTCTGTATCTAACCCTCCTTGGTCATAACCAAGCTCACACTGAAATAAGAAGTAGAATTTGAGTTTGGGCTGCCCAAACTCCCAGTGTTTGTGTCTCATACTTCCACGTTTCTTTTTCACTGCTCTTACATGCCTTCTGTTCTGCCAATACATAATATTAAATCATTCCTGCTGGGATCCTCACTGACCTTCATCAAAGTGAGAAACTCGCTGGATACTTCCCTATATGTTGCTTTTTGAGACAGTAACAGTCTACACTGAGCTTTGATGTAGAAATCAGCTGCAGGAATAAGGTATGGGCCAAATGAACTGGACTTGCTCTTGGTATGGAAAATCCCCAGGAGATGGAAGTGAGGGAGGGATACCCAATGGGATGGGAAGATTTTACTTTAAAATAAGTCTTAAACTTTACTTTGACTTTGTACACTGAAACCTTCCTCTGCTGAGCAATCCTATCAAGGTAAGAACATGTTAGAAGCAATTGTGCTCATTAGTTATTTTCATATGTAATTGATGTGACAGAATCTTTTGGCTCATGCAGTCACTTAATTACTTACTGCTTTGTGAACGAGCTAAAGGTGTGAATCCCCTGCCACTCACTTGTGCTGTGATGAAGCAAGGATAGCATGTTGCATTGTAATATGTAGATGAATTCCAAAACAGCGAGGCAGAAAATCTCATCCTCTTCTTGCATTTTTCCTGTATTTTCAAATGAAACTTTGCTGAGGTGCATCTTCCAAACTTGTGTGATAGTGGGAGTGAGTGCCATCAGATGCAGCCAGAATGTTTTCAGTCACTCAGTTCATCTTGGAGGTGCAGTAGATCTTAAAAGGAGTTTGATGTGTCTGTAGTACCTGACACTGTTTGATTTGGAAAAAAATGATTCTTCATATCAAACCTCATAATAAGTGCTTGAAACGGTTTTTCAGGAGATCCTTGCTAACTTGTGCTGAATTTAGTTGCTTTTAAGGATTTTTCTAGCCCATTGTTGCAAAGAGGATCTTGAAATAGAACTGTGCCTGTGAGTGTAGAGTTCATGCGTGGTACCTTTGACAAGCTTCAACAGAGGCAACTGTTGCTTCTTGCAAAATTTAACAACAGGTTGGCTCATTTTGCTCTGTGGAAGAGTGGAGAAGCTGTCAATAGAAACAGTGAGACCAAAGTTGTTTATTGGGGCTGAGGGCCTAACCCTCTCTCACCACCAAAGAACTCTTGACTCTCTCCACAGTAAATTTTCAATTGCTAAAGGTTGTCATGTTCCTTTAAATAAAGCAAACACATGGGGAAAAATCCAAAATGAGAAACCCAAAACCAAGCCATCCCCACCCCCAAATCTATATTTGAGAGTCAGAGAGATACAACCTATGTACATCATCATTGAATACACCATTACTTATTAATTTGTGCAACCCTTTTGAAGTGGTTGGGATAAAAGTCTCTTATATTCTCATACTGACTCATAAAATAAATTTGAAATACTTAAAATTATAAAGAAGTTAACTATGACATCTCAGATAGGAAAATAAAAGCATGGGGAGCAGAAAAAGAGATTTGGCTAGATAATTTAAAATTGAATGGGTTTTTTGAAGTGTATTTGGTGCATGGTGTCTTTACTAGAGCTTAAGCACCTCATTCTTTCAGTTACACATACAGCCCCTTTTTTTAGTTTGTTTGGGTATTTTTGTGTGTGTTACATCCTTTGAGAGGTGAATCCCTTGCTGTTGTCTATTTCAGGCACTTCACTCATACTGCCACCATAGCTCAGAGTTAACTGCCAGCAAAGTGGAGGAGGAGGACAGAACATCTGTAACTTGTGTCCCAGTCTGAATTGGTGTTGGCTGTGGGGTGATGTAGCACAGCACCAGTCTTACAGCTTTTAGAATATTTTGTCTTAGTAAAGCAAGCAGTGAGTTTTCTGTCTGAATGCAGATTGTCAGTTTTTGGTGGGCACCTTCAGAAGACACTCTGGAAGGTTTAGTGACAGCAGGAATTAGTCAGGAGAGCAGGTGGGAGCAAACTCTGCTCAGTGTTGTGTCACCTGGTAACAGCTGAACTTCTGGTCTTTGACAGTTAATATATAATAAAAAAAAAAGGCTCTGTGAACCTCCAGGGCATTCAGCAGAAGCTTTGAGGTTTGATTATATTAATTGCTATTAATGGAAGGTACCAGAGCTGTGACAGTATTAAGAGCCATGTGATGAACTCTTTTTCTTCTTGAGCTCTTTCTGGGCAGGGTTGAGCATTAAAATCCAGGCCTGGGAGGCTCAATAGATGCATCTTTATCACACAGACCCAAGGTCTAGAATTTTCCCAGCA